TATATATATATATATATATATATATATATCCAAATTTGGGCACTTATTTGAGAATTATATAGTATTTTATAAACTCAAAGATAAAGAAAAATGCTTATATGAGGTTGCAACAACTAAGGATTCACCTCAAAAATCCATCGGAAAAGGTGTTTTAATGTTGAAAAAGTCTCTTATTGATCATCTCGACATTGGGAAAGGTTGTTTTAATGTTGAAAAAATATCTAATTGATCATCTCAACATCAAGATGTCTGAGTGTAAGAAAAAAAATAAAAAATTTTGAGTGCCAGAAATTGTGCATCTTGCAACATATTATCTACACCGTCCATTTTAAGAATTTTCATATGTTTATAGATTTACATGATTTTAACCATTTTTGGAGTTTAAAAGTATTTAATTAGATATGAAAATAAATTTTCAGATAATCCTAAGAATTTTTTGCACCAAAATTACATGGCATAATAAAATTTGGTGTTGCGCCTTAATTGGATTGTTTAAGGTTTTGCAACCTTATAGAAACCATACCCAAGAGAAAGAACCATATATCCACAGGGTTTTGCTCAATATTCAGGATATTCAAGAAATGAAAACAAAATCTGGGTAAAATTGTAATAAAAACGTAAACAAAAATCTAGGCAAAAAAAGCTATAAAAAAATCTGAGCAACAAATTCTACAGAGAAAGAACCATATTTTTGCCCAAATTTTGCTCAGTATTTGGGATATTCAAGGACAAAATGCTCAAATTGGGTGCTATTATTTGGGGCTTGGGGATTTTGTACTTGAAAAGAGTTAAAATCAAAAGAAGAGACGGAAATAGAAAAACTAGAGAGAGAGAGAAAGAGAGAGAGTGTTAGCATACATTTAATGAGAGAGACCTTCTGTGCGCCCAAGGGTTTGAGGAGCAGGGACAAATGGTAGCAGCAGGGTGCGAGATCTGCGGGTCTGTGGACGTGAGAAAATATATAGAGAGAGGAGAGAGAATACGCAGACAGCTTGGCCGTAGAGATAGAGCGAGCAGAGAGCACATAGACAAAACGGGAGGAGAGAGAATTTTAAAGAGCGAAAGGAGAGAGAATGCATAGAGAGATCTAGAGGAGAGAGAGGGAGTACTCTTCTTTTCATTTCTCTGCGAGTGTCAATACCCTATCTGACAAATTCATATTAAAATATGTTTTAAACGTTTCAAGCAACTCCCGTGTGGGATCCCATCCTGGCCCTCCATTACAAAGCATTAAATCAGCGCCCTTGGGTTCATTTGAACCATATAGACGAGGCGACCAAGCCCATATTTTTCNCTATATATATATATATATATATATA